TCCATTTAACAAAATAACATGAAATGATCTTTCAACTTTATTATACTACAAATATTAATAAAAAGGACACCCCTTCCCCCCAACCTTGGTGATTATTTTTTGGAATTGAAACTAATCGATGGGTTGGGATCCTCTCCAGTACTGGACTGTCCAGTACTGGAATGTGAGGCCCAAGATAGTTTGAAGAATAAAAAATAAAATTTAATTGAAAAAAATTTAAAATCTATACCGTTAAAAAATAAATAATGCCACATGTCATTATCTCCTCATACATTGGACCCTCCAATACCGGAGAGGATCCACACTCCTAATAGATGAATAAATCTAACTCAATCTTAGTTGTTAGTTCATATTTTGAGAGTTGTCTAAGTCTTATAAATATTGGTCTGTTTATATACTCATGACTGGACATCTTAAGCATAAAGTTTGCAGAAGTTTGTTAAATTATAGAGTTAAGGTATAAAATGAGAAAAGTAAATGATTTTCTTTTGATATCCGAATATCTTCTAGATATTTTCTATAAGATAATTTAAGGTATCTAAGATGAATTCATATATTCCAATAGACTACACATTTATAGCTGACTCATTGGGAGAATCAGACTTTAATATCATATTAGAATGACTTGGCCTAATTAATCCCCAAAAGTTAACTCATAAGGTAAGTGTTGTCACTCCTTATGAGTAATGACTAGACCATATTCTCATTTAGTGTGACTTATTTTATAAAAACAATAACTTAAAAGTATTGAAACTTACCCTCACTAGAAAGGTTACTCTTTGTTAGTTAATGTATCATTTTGTTGTGTAGTGTTTCTATTTTCCTAATGAGGAAAGGATGCTTTTCCAAGAAAATGAAAGAGTTTGGAATGGCTTTAAGAAGAGGCAAAAACAGAGGTTGTGTGTTGCAAAACACAAAATTATGGATGTTACTATGGAAAGCCAGATATGAGGTTGGTGACTAGTTGATATCAAACAATGTTGCCAATCTTTTTCTGTTCTCTTAGATGTTGACATTTCTTTGGGGATTCACTTACTTCACATCTTAGCCATCAATTTTAGGGAAATCCAATGATTTAAATTTACTAATTAATTCAAACAATTGTATTTCCCTATAATTGATGACTAAGATGTAGAGTAAGTTTAAAAAACTCTTACTGTGGATTCATTCTTTTTTTTAATGGGAGTCTGTGAGATATTAAACACATTGATTTATGAGGCTTTATATATATTTTTTGCTTTTCCTTTACATGGTCCAATTGAAATTTGTTTAATTATATAGGTGATATGTCTTAACTGATTGGAGTTCATTTCGTGGTAGTTATGAATTGATGTTAAATTAAGCTTCACGTGATTAATGAAAGCATGGTGCTACTGTAATAATCTAATCATGAGTACACAAAACAATTACTGAACATATATTTTAATTGAAAAAAACAGAATCAGTTATACTAACAATTGTATGATTTAAACTCGAATTTAATAATTTCTGGCTGGCAATATGTAATACTAATTTTTCTTGAGCAGCTTTTACAATACCATTTTTCAATATCAAAATAGGGGGTGAGTAGGACCCGACTCTATCCGTGTATTCGGTATGGCCCAATCATGATCGGTTCCGAATATGGTCGGGTCTCATAGGGTCTGGGACCTGGTTCGGATTCACAAATTAGACTCGATCAATATTTAGGTCAGGTAAGGATGAAACATGACCCTACCTAACTCGTTCCATATTCACTCACTAATCATGTTTGCATATGTCTTTATTCAAATGTATATAGGGTAATGATATCTTTTTGGTCAAAAATATCATTATTTCTCTCATTTATTTCATCATATATACATGGTTAATAATATATATACAAATATCATTTTATATGTCAAATTAAATATTCATAATAATAAAGAGTATTGAGAAAACTTTATCTAAAATGAGTATATATTATATTTAATTGGGTCAAGAGTCAAGTTCGGGTTTAAAGACTACCATGATCGACTTTTAAGGTCAGGTTAGCTTCGAACATAGGTCCGAGTCCAGGTTCAAAAAATGAACCGAACAAAATTTAGGATCGGATAAGAAACGATTTTTAACCCGTCCAATCCGACCCATTCTCACAACAAATATCAGAAGGGGTTTTTAGTTTTTCTAAACAATGATCAGAAATGAAGAATATTCAGATAATAAACTTTACCAAAATGATATATCATTCAATAAATCCTCCAGTAGTGGGCCATGCGATAATTTTGATTCTTCTTCAATGAAGAGAAATGTTATATCAGTTGCTGTTGGATAATTCATCTTTATTAAAAAGTTCTGACGTATGCATATCATGTGCAAAATTTGTGCCAAACCTGTCAAAAATTAGAATAAAGGCAAGAACAGGTAAAATAAAATAAAATAAAAACTGGATATTTTGATAATTAGAAGTAGAAAAAAAATCAAATTGTTTCTTAACATCGTAAACGTGAGACATTTTAGTTTTTACATCATTTTTTAACATTTAGTTCCTGAAAATGAATAGCGGGATAGTTTTGCAATGTTTATATCATTATTTATAAATTTGATATCTATAAGTATTTGTATCAACTTTTTTAATATGTGTGAATTAGGTAAACATAACTTATAATTAGAATTGAAGAAATTATTATTAACCGGTAAATAAGAGTATAAACAAATATTATTTTAATTAAAAATTATTCTTTTAAGTTATGATTCAAATGATTGTTTATTTGTTGACACAATAAATCAAAATTATAATACAATGATAAAATGAGTTGTGTTTGAACTTTGAATTTCACACTTACTATCGGTACACATCTAATTCTTAACACAAATTCATTCAACAATGATTATTCTATACAATGGCCTCAAAATTACTAAAAAGTTAATGTCTTAGTCAATTTAGCAACTTAGGCAAGAAAACTATATGTTTAACAACTTCAATTAATAAGATTAAGAAATATGACTTGAACCATTATGCTTGTATTTCTAGTAGTTCATGCATATAAGTTGAGTTAAAATAATATCTCAATTGTATTGGTCGTCAATGTTTTGGTCTATACTAATAATTTACCAAAGATAGGTATATGTCTAGCAACAATAATGATAAATTCACATTAATGAACCTTCAACCATACATTTATGTCTAATAGTCTATGACATTCAATTTAAGAGTTATAAAATCACAATATTAACATTATGTCTACTAGCGTGTCGACAGACACTTCGTGTCTGCCGACCTGCATTCTTATTTTATTATATTAAGTATTCAATTTTTATATATTTTATTTTATATAATTAGAATGTTAAGAGTACTTTATGTTAGAAAATGTATTTATTATAATTCAGTTTAAGGTGAGAAATGTGATTAATGTGCTAATGGTAGTTACTTAGGATTATATGGTTTTTTTTTTGTAGAAATTAAAAAATGTAAGGGCAAAATAGGAAAATAAAAATTACACCATGGTGGTAATTATTTCATGTTTTGGCTTTATATATAGTATAAATATATAGGATAAATATATAAATATACTAATAAGTGAAATGCATGTAATGACAAATAATACAAGTCTATATATAGCAAATGCACTATTTGTTGACCGATGCAAGTTAAGAATAATGCAATTAAGAGACTACACAAATTATTCAATAATCATGCAATAAGATGATCAAACTTAAAGCAAATATAAAGTAAATACAAAACTCAAATATAATCAAAATTTCATGAATTAATGGTGAATCACTATGATTATATCAAGCTCATGCTTCAATCAATCCCTCCAAGGGTTTTAGCTACTCATGTTTACATAGTATAAGTATGATAAGGATAAAGCACAATTCTGTGTTGGTAGAACCACACAGATGAGTATAAATTAATTCCTCTAATACTTAGACATTGATCTCATAACTAAAAATGAGTTAAACTATCATATAAACTCAGAAAATGAGTATTACAAATCAATATTGAAAAGTTTGTATCATTTAGTTTGAGTTGAAAGTCCTTAAATAGTGTCAGATGTTGTCATATGCACTCAACGCACCTCTATTGCGCTGAGCACAGACGAAATAATGGCTGAATGTTGATTTTTTTTTAGCATGGAAACATGCACTCAGCACATGGAGTTTTGCTTATTTCGACGATCCGACCGTTCACATTGAAGATTCAATAGTTAGGAACAACATATCCAAAATTCAGATGGATCCAACGGTGAACGAATGAGTTATCGCGATTTTACTCGGACTAGTCATGACTGAATTCTTGTTTTGTCCGGAACTTATCCTTTTGCAATTATTCCTCCAGATTAAGCCTACAAAACACTTCAGATGTGAGACTTGGCCAATTAAACAAGTTTTAATCACGTATTAGTGCAATTTCACTCATTTGAGTTGATTATGTAGTTAAAGTGCCCTAAAAAGAGTTTATAAAATATGATCACTTTGACACTTAACAAACATTGTATCCAATTTCGGATGGTAACATCTGATGTAGTTACAATACTGTGGTTGTGTTGACTTCCCCAACCACATCATCCCACAATTGCAACTGAATGAAAATGATATGGTGAAATCAGACCAAAATATAATCATATTAGACTATAGTTGGGTCAGATCAGATTCAATTATATTTTTTAATCACAAAAATTAACAACGCAATCCTCATCACACTACACACGTTGTGCAACAATGTGTGTGATGATTTTAAATTTTAACAATGTCTTTAAAGATACTTTATCACAACCCAAAAAGACAAAATGTAAAACCTAGGAAGAATTAAGCAGAAGATAAGACCAAGGATAGACTCACCTCACTTGAATTGAGACATATTATGTATACAAATGTATGGTTTGCTAGTGAAAACTTATACAAATCAAATCCATGCATATATTCAGAATTAAAACAAGGAAGAACAAATAGAAAAAAGAGTAGGTTGCACTAAAAGTAGCTTCACATTGGTGTGTTCCTCTATGTCTCTATATGATCATTTTGTTCAGAGGGGTATGATATGAATTGCAGGACAAATCTCCTTTGGCAATGAGTTCACTTATTAATCATCACCTCAATGGTTAAGTCAACAATTGCCAAAGTAGTAATTGCCCTGCAATGCACCTTCACATTACTAGTTGCAACTTTCCTTGTTCAATATTTACAGGGTCACTAGTTAATTATATATATGCATGCCACAGGATATTCCAAGCACATTCTCTCTGTTTTGGAACAAGTTACTAGAAAGAAAGTGGTCCATTAATTCTGTGACTTTAGCCACAAATCTTGCACTACCATTATAGTACTACTAGCAGTATATGCCTGCCCACAGTTATCTTTGTCAAAAGTCTATGCATTTTTTCAGTTTTAGTTTATTTTACAGCATTAACATCAAGTCTCATTACTGATTAGAGATGTTACATGTGACATCAAAATATTTTCAAGGGTTCAAATCATTATTTATATATAGAAATTCAAGATCCAATATAGATATTACCCAATTATCCTAAAATAAACATTTTATGGCAAAATATAGATATTGAACCTTCCTTTCTTAATCAATGATATGATATGTACCTATCCATTATGCCACTAAAACGGATAAATTCAAATTTCAGATGTAAATATATTTAATATATAAAATTATTTAGTTTTTCAACATTTAAAACTATTTATAGCACTTTTTTATGTTTTTTACAGGTTTAGACAAAACAAAACACAATCTTTTGTTCACTCGCATGTAGAGTTCTGTTTTATGTGGTCGCAGTAGTAATGTGGCAAAAGATTACCCCTTCACACAAAAAAGAAAGAAGAGGAAGAGGTTTAGAGGATAAATTGTATGCAAATATCAGAATCTATCACAATCATATATTGTTGTATTTTGTATTCTATATCTTGGGACAAAATAGTGGATTTGGCAAGCAGCTGAATTTCCTAGATGGATCGATAGCCAGTTATCAAAATTAAATGTAGCTAGACTAACACCTCGGTGATCGATAAATTAATTTTTTTGTATTACTAAGAGTATTCTTTTACCCTATGGGCAAGGAATTAATCTCTTCGAGGTGTATGACTGCTCCTCCTAACAAGTGTCGCTCGAATGAATCGAACCATTGACCTTTTAGTTATCCTGAGACAGGGCCTTACACGAGACAAACCAATTTAAATGTATGTGAATGGAGACCAACTTCATAATAAATCCTAAGTTGTCTAGTTCATTTAAGAAATGTTTGTACTAGACAACATAAATTAGGAAGTCTTGTTACGTGATGGTGGGTGAATATTGGAAGTGTTATCCATTTCTCATGATTTTAAACTTACAAGGCTCATTTTGAAAGGTTGGCTGAAAGAAGAGTTTTATCACAGTAACGTGGACCATGACTGCAACAGAAGACATGAAGAAGTTCCCAAGGAATGATCCATAGCATATGCTAATAGATTTTTATCGAATATCCATTGCTGATGTGCGCATAAAGCAGAATATATTGCATCCTTAATTCCTTATGAAGCTTTGCATCACATGCAAAAGGGCTACATTGAAGTTCAGAGATAGAGAAGAATAACAGAGTTGATGAAGATCTCCCAATAAGTGGTATCAGAGTTGATGGTTCGACACTCAACTGAGTATTGAAGCGACAAGTGATCAATAGATTCATGTGGGGTCCTTGTGCCAAAAGTTTTCCTGACGAAATGTCACACGACGTGTTCCGTTGATGACCAGAAAAGCCGACAACAGTACAAGCAGAGAGAGAGCTGAGATTGTGACATACTTGCTTGCTAAATGTGAAAGACTATATCATCAAATCACATATATATGATATGATGTCACATATTGAAACCACTGGCCATATTGTTCTCTCCTTTCTCTTTCTTCCATTCAAGAATCTCTGCTGGCTTTTCAAGTCCAACTAAAACCAGGCTTCTTATGGACATTTCTCTCCTTCATCTCCCTCCTTACATTCCCAACCTCATCCCATTTCCCATCAGCAGCATAAATATTCGAAAGTGTTACAAAGCCACCAGGTCCTTTTAACTGCATTCTCATTATTTCCTCCACCATGATTTTAGCAAGATCTCTTCTTCCATGGACATTACACCCACTTAGAAAAGCTCCAGCAATTGACTCTGTGACTTGTATTGGCATTGCTTTGATAAATTCATAAGCTTCTACCATCCTTCCAAAACGACAGAAGAGATCAACAATAGTAGCATAATGCTTCACACCTGCCTCAATCCCATAACATTCTTTCATTGATATGAAGATCTCTAAACCTTTTTGCACAGAACCACTATGGCTGCATGCTGAAAGAATACATGTAAAAGTAACCTCATTTGGCTGCAACCCTTCTTCTTGCATTTTCTTAAACAGCTCCATGGATGAATCAACCATACCACACTTCCCATAACAATCAATCATTGCATTCCATGATGCAACATTCTTACAGGGAATCTTGTCAAATACATTTTGAGCATCCTTTACACTCCCACCCTTTGAATACATATCAATAAGAGCACTTGCAATGAAAACATTGATATCAAACCCCTTCCTGCATATAAACCCATGAATTTCCCTTCCCCATTTAATAAAACCTCTTGACCCACATGCAGGAAGCAGTGCTGCGATGGTTACTTGATTGGGTTGAATCCTTGAATCTAGCATCTCCTGAAACACCTTAAATGCATCCATGACTTCATGACTTTGTACCAAACCAGAAATTAATGCATTCCAAGCAATCAAATCAGGAACAAACCCCTCTTTTTTCATTCTATCAATGAAAGCAAAAGCTTTGCTGCTATCTCTCGAACGAGCATAAGCAGAAATCATAGCATTCCACGTGAACTCATTCGGCTCCAACCCTTCCACTTTCATCCTCTCAAACAACGCCAATGCTTGTTCAAATTTCCCTACGTTACAAAATCCACAAATCATTGATGTCCATGAGGCAACATCTCTCTCAGACATTCTATCAAACACATGGGAAGCATACACAATACCACCGCATTTACCATACATATCAATAAGAGAATTGGCAATAGAAACATCATTATGAAAACCCAATTCATAAACCATTGCATGAACTTGTCTCCCTTTATTCAAATCCATTAACCCAACACAAGTCTTAAGCACGCTAGAAAAAGTAAACTTATTGCCCACAAGTCCAAGCTCACGCATCTTACAAAAATACATGAATGCATCATCATAGTACCCATTATATGAAAAACCCAAAACCATCCAATTGAATGAAAAAACATTAGGGTTTTCAATTTTAGGAAATAAAAACCTTGCTGATTTGAGGTCAGAACAACTTGCATACATTCCAAGAAGCTTTGAACTCAAAGATAAAATGTTCATGTTGATTCCACTAGTGAGTAACATGGCATGAACTTGCATGCCAAGTCTCAAGGTTTTTGCTTTCAAACATTTTTCTAGACAAAAAGCAAAATCATGTAAGGACCATATCAATTGTGGAGTTTTCATTTTCTGTTAATCTTGTTTGTCCCAAACTCCATGAAAACCAAAAGTTTATATAAGAAATTGTAACACACCATTGTTCATTGCATTTTAAATACTTAAAAATGGAGTTAGCACTTTTACCATCATTAAAAACAAATGGAAAATATGTATTTGACTCTCTAGTTCTTAAAAATGTTATATTCTGAATGAGAAATAAAAAATGCGTTTGCCGGGAGTCGAACCCGGGTCTATTGCTTGGAAGGCAATTATCCTAACCGTTGGACTACAAACGCATGATGCTTTTGATGGAAATAAAACATTTTATAATCTGACTTTTTTATATAGAATTCTATGAAAATGCAATGATTTGAATAAGTGAATAGATCTAAAACATTAATTTTTTCTAGATTGAATAACTAAGATCATAAATTAGTTTTTTCCGGTCTCTGGGTGGAGATCCCCTCCTTATTTTTTAATAAAAAATGCAACACATGGGTCATTCTCTCAAACTCCAAGTCCCAATAGAAAGGCAGAAGATGGATGTTCCTACATAAGTCAGTAGTCAAGCCTAAATCCATGGCGAATCCAAATAGGACACATTAAATAATAAATATAGTTTCTCCAAGACGGTGTAGAAAATGATATTGTACTCAAATTATCAAAAGGATTTGCTGTCAACTTAGATCACAGGTTATTTGGAAAATATGAAATATAGCCCATACCCCATATAAGTGTCACTTTGACTAATACAATTTCCACTACTTGTTTAGTAGTGTTATTTCAATATTTTATAACAATTCAAATAATTTATATTTCTCACTTATTTTTTAATTTTATACAATAAAAAACTAATAAAAAATTCACTAATTTATTGTCAAAAACATTTTCCTTGACTTGATCCAAAGCTTTATGTTCCTCTCTCATGTATATTATAAATGTCATTTCCCTCACTAACTAACACACTCTTATTCCCACACCCAAAAAAAAAACATAAATTTTTGTTCATCTCTTACCCTCTCACCCTTTTGAATTATTTCCATGGCTCGCTTTACCACTTTCCTGGTTCTATTCCTTGTTCTCTTTGCCTCCCTTTGTTCTTGTTTAGAAGGTAGAAAGCTTCACCTGGGTCATAGAAACAAGGTTAAATCATCTTCAAACAACAGCTTATATTTCAGTTCACTTCCAAAGGGTACTGTACCATCTTCTACACCAACCAAAAAAGGGCATGCCACTGAGGTTGATGAGAAGCTCATTGCACGTCATTATTAATATTTAGCTTCTCCAATATTTTAAAGGTGCGCAAGGTAGATGTATACAACTTTACCCGATAAACCTCAGAAAATGTTTTGATGTTATAAACCCATGACCTACTATTGGCTACTTTCCAACATGCTGACCCTCATCTTCTCTATTATTTGAGACCACATTTTTTTATTTGTTCAATTTTGTAAATTTGTTTAGATTCTTTGTATAAGAAAAGATACTATAAAAACCAGAAACGGTATAGGGATAGTGTGAATTATATATCTGTTTTAATTTCTGTTTAGCTATCATCTGCAATCCTATCTAGATTAATATTATTGAGGGGGAACATATTTATAGCAACGATTTTGTATTGTATATATTTGGAATATTACCTTGTGTCTATGGTGCCCCATGTAGAGACTATTT